CAAGCCCACAACCCAGGCATGTGCCTTGACCGGAAACGAACCATGACCTCCTGGTTCATAGGTCGATGCTCAACCACTGAGCCATGCTGGCTGGGTTGTGTTTAACCTTTTTATACATTTTTTCTATGATGGGTTTCATACTTCCTTTTCTTAACCTGAATGTAACCAACATTTAATTTTTGTACTGGCTTGGTATCAACATGAACAGCAAGAAGTGCATGGCACACAAAACAGTGAGACTTCTGGCCAGCCTTGTGATTATGTGTTTGCTGTTACCTATCACTCATACCAGGGTGCCTGCCTGTGAGAACACCCCTTTTACCCCAACAATCTTTTATTTGACTACTTTCAGTCAGCTGTGACCTGGCACTCAGATGACTGTTGAGCCCAAGCAGCTCCCTGGTCTAAAAGTAAAATTGAGTTCCAAGAGTGGCCCAAAGACTCTGGGAATTTACTTTGGTTGCTCTGATCTACTGCCCCCTTTTTACTTATTTCTGAAGCTATGTCTATGCTCTCTAGATCCTTGCTGCTCCAAGTGTGATCTATGGACCAGCAGCATGACTTGTTAGGTGCTTATTAGAAATGCAGACTCTCAGGCTCACCCCTAGATTCACAAATCAGAATCTATATCCTATATAATAAAAGGGTAATATGCAAATAGGCCGAACAGCAGAACAACTGAACAACCAATCAAAGCGTAATATGCTAATGAATGCTAAGGCTGCTCAACCACTCCCTATGACGTGCACTGACCACCAGGGGACAGATGCTCCGACTGGTAGGTTAGCTTGCTGCTGGGGTCTAGCTGATCGGGACTGAACAAGATGGGCCGGACACACCTTGGAGCCCTCCCATGGTACCTCCCCAGCCTGATCGTGCTCCGGTGGGGTCCCTCAGCCTGGCCTGTGCCCTCTCGCAATCCAGGACCCCTTAAGGGATGTCGGAGAGCCGGTTTCAGCCTGATCCCACAGGCCATTCCCCTTGGGAGGGTGCCAGATACAGGGTTCATGGCAATCAGGACTGATCAGGTGTGAGCCTGTGGCAGGCACATTGGGGTCAGGATGAGCGGGAGCAGCAGGTAGGAGCTGCAGGTGGCATTGGACTGCAGGTTTCGGCCTGATCCCTACAGGCCACCAGAGGGACTCCACCCATGCACAAATTCATGCACCTGGCCTCTAGTTTTACTATAAGCCAGAGGGGATTTCTGCGCTCCCATTAAGTATGAGCTGCACTGGTCTAGGGAAGTCCTCTGCCTGCCTCCTTTGCTCCCAACCTCTCTCCTTGCCTCTTCCCCTCTCCCCAGCTCTTCTCCCTACCTCTGACTTTCTTTCTCTAATCCTGCCCCCTCCCTCTCTCTTTACATCTCCCCTCTAGCTCTCTGCCTCTCTATCTTCCTGCCCTCTTCTGCTTCCTTCTCTCTCTACTCCCCTCCCAGCCTCCCACCCCACTCTCTGCTTCCTTCTTTCTTTGCCCCCTTTCCCTGCCTACTCTTTGCCATCTCTTGTGTCCCCTCTCTTCCCTGCCTCCTCTCTCTACCCCTTCTTTCGCACTCCCCTCTCTTTCCTACACTCCTCTCTGTGGCCTCTCCTACCCCACTCTGCCTCCTGCCCCTTTTTCTGCCCTCTTTCTGCCCCTGTCCTTGTATCCGAGCACCCCTCTCTGCCTCTCTTTCTCTGCCCTTCCCTAACCCCTCTTGCACTTTCTGCCACTCTCTGCCTATTTCTGCCTGTCTCTCCCTGACCCTCTGGCTCTTTCTACCATGTCCTACCTCTCTTTCCCCTTTCTCTCTGCCCTTGCCCCTCTCTGCCTTTCTCTGTCCCTGTCCCTGCCCCTGTTATGTCCCCCTCTCTCTCTCCTGACCTTTCCTCTCTGCCCCTCTCTTTCCTATACTCCTCACTCTACCACCCCTCTCTCCTACCCCATTTCTGTCCCCTCTCTCCTACTCTATTCTCTGCCTCCCCCACTACCTCCTTCTGTACCTCTCTGCCCCCATGTCTTCCTCTCTGCCCCTCTGTCCCCCCTTTCTACCTCTTTCTGCCTCTCTCAGGCCCCGTCACTCTCTGCACCCCCCTACCTCCCTTACTCCACCTCTTTCTGGCCCTCTCCCTGCCCCTTTCTCTGCTTCTCTCTACCACACTGTCTCTCTGACTCCTCTTTTTTCCTGTCCCTCTCTGTCCCTATCTCTCTCTGCCCCCTTCTCTCTCTGCCCCTCTGCCCCTCTCTCTCTGACATCATCTCTCTTTCACTCCCTGTGTCTCTGTCTTTCTCTCTCTGACTGGCTCTGGCTCTGTCTCTCTCTGATTCCAGGTCCATTTCCATGGCACAATCTCCCATCATGATGGTAAATCCTCAAACTCAGGTTTGGATGTTGGAGATGAGGGGAAAAACAATACATACCTCAAGGTCTGCTTTGAATTAAAGCCCTCCAGGCCCAACTGGCTTAGGGACGGGTGGTCCAAGTATGGGCTTCTTGCTTACCAGGGCCCTTTGCATTGGGGTTTTGGAACTAAGCACCAGGAGATGACAAAATACTCTGCAGCTTTCTATCTGCCATTGGTTCTTGAATAGTCATTTCCCTCAGTGACCTTGGGGCTAGAGGGGCTGTGGCCTGGGGGCAGGGTATGGAGACTCCTGGATTCCCTGGTCAAATCCCCTTTGCTGGCCTTCAGTCCCATCCCCCTTTCTAACACATTACATTTCTGACCCAGCAGGGGACTGACAGAAAGTGAGCAAGAGAAGTAGAATGGCTAAGGAGTAGGGCCTTGGTTTGCAAGGCTTGGGGACGGGATGCTGACAAAGAACACTTGTACAAGAAAAGTAACTTTTGGTGAGAAGTTGTTTGTTTCTAATTATCTGCTTATATTTCTAAATCTAAATGAATTAGAATAAAATGAATTAAATAATAGAAGGGATATTTTACACACGTCTTAATTTTGAATGAACATGAAAGTTTACTCTTCAACTCTAAGGAATGTTTGAATCAGACTGTGTAGGTCAAACATGTATTTGAAATCTCTCACCTGTCTTGTCATTTGCCAAACACAATCAATAAACTGAAGAAATATTGGAGACCGGTCGGCATCTGCATGGTTGTCATTGCCATGGCCCACTCGCTATAAAGAAACAACAGGTTAAATGTTTTAATGTATGCATGGTCCTCTCAAAATTGCCTGGTGACAAGAATAATGTCTCTTCAGAGGGAAGGCAGGGGAGGGTGGATGGGAAGAGATCAACCAATGAACTTGTATGCATATATGCATAACCCGTGGAAACAAACAATGGGGTGGTGAGGGCCTGGGGGGGGGGCATGAGTGGGCTGGAGGAGATTAATGGGGGAAAAAGAAGGACCTATGTAATACTTTCAACAATAAAGATTAAAAGAAAAAAAAGAATCATGTCTCACTCCTATGTCTCAAGGCCTAACAGAATTACCAGCACATAATAGGCACTCAAAAATGTTCACTGAATTGAACTGACTTTCATTAGTCTTAGGAAAAAAAATTTCAGTGTACTACATTTTTACATGATGATTGTTTTATAATGTTTCTTTCATATAGCTGGGATCAAGAGTTATAAGCAAAGAGCCAGCATTTTTCAGTCCAAATGATGGGGTCACCCCCAGCCACCACACCAAGTGCACAGTGTCACCCTGGAACTACCAATTAGCAGCTCATAAAGCACATTATGATTGCCATTTTCTCCACAAGTGAAAAAAAACAAAACACATTTTTTTCCATTGTTCAGAAATGTCAGGAAACTCTGAGAATAAAAATAATCATTAACAATATACAAATTTTAAGCAATTTTCTATGACTCAGAGAACCCCAAAAATCTCACTCTTGAAATAATAATGGCTAGAGTCCTTGTTCTAGGAGTCCAGTGTTGTATTAATTTTTTTCCAGTTGAGATATAATTGATAGCTAGAATTGTCTTTCATAGTCTTTGATATTTTAGAAGATATTAATAGATTCATACAAAAAGTAAAAGATAATTTCAATCACATAAATAGGACTGATAAAAACCATTGAAAATAAGTCAGATCAAAAGTGAGATTCTTTCTTTTAATAGACATTCACTGAACTCCTATGGTGTCTGTAACACATCTTGCCTGGCCCTCGGGATTTCAGGCATTTTCATGGTGTCTAATAGAGTCCAGGACCTTGGTTAGGCATCTGGGGTACAAAGACAAATGAGACAGAGTACCCATGCTTGATGATTAATTCATTTATGGTCTGGTCATGGGAGAAAGACCTATAAATAACAAGGGCAATAAAGTGTTCCAAGGGCCACAAAGGAGCAAGTGGCCATCTTAATATGGGGTAGATGAGGCAATGAGGAGGGAAAGTCATACAAGTCAGTCATGGAGGAGGTCTCATTTGAGATAAACCTTGGAGGACAGGAAGATGTCTGCTACCTGGCTGGCCAGGGAGACAATATATCAGAAGCAATGGGGGCACCAGGGTGTCATTATTAGCTGGGCACAACTGAGGCTCAGAGGATGAAGCACAGCAAGGGAGACAAAATGAGGCTGGAAAGGTGGACTAAGGTCAGATGACCAAGTGCCTTGAATGCTGCACTGAGGAGTTTGCCCAAAATCCCATAGGCCATAGGAAGACTCTGAGGTATTCACGCTGGGGAGTGGCCAGGACCTGAACTCTACACATTAAATGGTTAACTCTATGTTATATGAGTTTTACCTCAACTTTTATTTTATTTATTTATTTTTTAAATATATTTTTATTGATTTCAGAGAGGAAGGGAGAAGAGAGATAGAAACATCAATGATGAGAGAGAATCATTGATCGGCTGCCTCCTGCATGCCCCACACTGGGGATCAGCCCCCAACCCAGGCATGTGCCCTGACTGGGAATCAAACCATGACCTCCTGGTTCATAGCCTGATGCTCAACCACTGAGCCATGCTGGCCAGGCTCAACTTTTATTTTATTTATTTATTTTTTAAATATATTTTTATTGATTTCAGAGAGGAAGGGAGAAGAGAGATAGAAACATCAATGATGAGAGAGAATCATTGATCGGCTGCCTCCTGCATGCCCCACACTGGGGATCAGCCCCCAACCCAGGCATGTGCCCTGACTGGGAATCAAACCATGACCTCCTGGTTCATAGCCTGATGCTCAACCACTGAGCCATGCTGGCCAGGCTCAACTTTTATTTTAAAAAGCCATACTGCCCTAGCCAGTTTTGCTCAGTGGATAGAGCGTCGACTCACGGACTGAAGGGTTGCAGGTTCAATTCCCAGTCAAGGGCACATACCTCAGTTGCAGGCTCAATCCCTGGCCCCAGTCAGAGTGTATATGCGAGGCAACCAATCGATGTGTCTCTCTCACATGGATGTTTCTCTCTCTGTCTCTCCCCCTCCCTTTCACTCTCTCTAAAAATCCAAAGGAAAATATCCTTGGGTGAGGAGAAAGGAAGGAAGGAAGGAAAGAAGGGAGGGAGGGAGGGAGGAAGGAAGGTCATATCTACATTTAAAAAAAAAAGAATGCCCTACCAGGAATATACAATGCTGAGGGTCCACAGTATTATATTATGGCAATTCAGGTATGATACAGAGCAGAAAGCCTGTGCACATGTACATGTGTGTGCGCATATGTTCTGCGATACACACATGCAAATAATGGAGCAAAACAGTTGAAGCATGAACCTATCTCAACTTACCAGTGCAAACCTATGTCCAAAACTTATCCACTCCTTTTCTATGAGAATCTCAAATCCTTTAATGGTGCGGTAATAACTGTCCAGCATCAGCATAGCCAGAGATGTCAGCTGGGCTGTTCTGTCCCAACCATCGCTGCAATGCACCACCACTGAGGTTTTCCCAGATTCTATTTTATCAGCAATTCTCACTGCCCCGGCAAGAAGCATCTTCAGAAAAGAAGGCACATTAGACCAAGCAACATATAATTTTTGTTATAACAAAAATAATTCTGGGGAGAACACAGGAAGTTCAGATCAATAAGCCAAACAAGAATGCAAGGAATTGAAAATCACTAGAAAACATTAGTAGTATCATGGGAGGGGGAAATTTATACTAAGAAAAACTATAGCAGTAACTAGGGTCCTTTACTATAACAGCCGAAATGTACTTAAAAGACCTGACGTAAGGCAAGCACTATCTCTTTTTATTATATCACAGAAGCCCCCCAAAGAAGACCAAAGTCTGGATGCTTCCCATAGAAACTAAGGAAGCACAAGCACACAGCAAATATGTGCTAATTTGCAATGTTGAGAAACCACTTGGATACAGATTTATAGCACCAACACAGAGAAATCTTATCCAAAAAGCATGTAAGGGACTGGCCTCTTTACCCTGATATACTCCAGCCAATGTGTCCCATCCACGTTGGATAGCCACCGTGTCTCATCAATCGAAGGGTAGGCAATCTCCTTTAATTTACGTAGTGACTCTCTCATCACATGAATGTTGTGGATCTCCAAGAAGACAAGTTCCGCATTTGGATAAGCACTTTCACTTTCATATCCTCCACCCTTTGCCTGTGAAAGACAAAAGAAAGACATCACTTCATCTGAGTTAACTGTTGTCCTCTCTAGTATTACCAAATAGAGACCATTTAATATATTTTATTGATTTTTTACAGAGAGAAAGGGAGAGGGATAGAGAGTTAGAAACATCGATGAGAGAGAAACATCGACCAACCACCTCCTGCACACCTCCTACTGGGGATGTGCCCGCAACCAAGGTACATGCCCTTGACCGGAATCGAACCTGGGACCTTTCAGTCCGCAGACCGATGCTCTATTCACTGAGCCAAACCGGTTTGGCCCAAATAGAGACCATTTAAAGAAGCAACAAACTCATCTGTTTATTATAAACTTCCTACATCTTTCATATGAGTTTCCTGTGGCCACTGGAACAAAGCACCACAAACCGAGTGCCTTAAAACAATAGAAGTGTCTTCTCTCACAGTGCTGGAGGTGGGAAATCCAAAATCAAGATATTGGCAGGGCCATGTTCCCTCAGAACACTCTTGAGGAGGATCCTTCTTTGCTTCTTCCAGCTTCTGGCGGTCCCAGGTATTCTTATTTTATAGACACATTACTCCAATCTTTGCCTCATCATCACAAGTCCTTTTCCTGTGTCTGTGTCCCTTCTCTTAAGGACACCAGTCAGATTGGATCAGGAATCACCCTAACCCAAAATGACCTCATCATAACTTGATTACATTTGCAAAGACCCTCTTTTGAAATAAGGCCACATTCACAGGTACCAGGGGTTAGGACTTTGACTTTTTTTTTTTAATGGAGATACAATTCACCCAAAATAATCCTCCATCACCCATTGTCAGTTTTTAAACCATTAAGAAATGGATCTTACTCAAGGCAATTTAGGCTTAAAAAGTTCTGTTAATGCCATCTGTCTGAACACAAAAAGTTATACAACCACAAAATTAATAAAAATAATAAAATCATTTGTAAATCCCTTACAATGATATTTATTTAAGCAATTTTAGTAAACTAAAATTGTAACAAAAAAGGGGAATATGGTTCACCCCTTGGTAATCTCATAACAAAATATGATCTAGCTTATATTTTGTAGAGATCAACATTTAAAACACATCTGTGATGAGAATGTAGAGAAGTTGAAACCCTAATACATTGCTGGTGGGAATTAAAATTGCATAGTTTGTGGGAGAAAATGTTGGTGGTTCCTCAAAAAGTTAAATATGGAATCACCATATGACACAGCAATCCCAGGCCCATGGAATTGAAAACAGGTATTCAAACAAAAACTTGTACACAGATGATCACATCACTATTCACAACAGCCAAAGGTGAAAACAACCCAAATGTCCATCAATGGATGAAGGAATAAACAAACTGTTGTCTAACTATGTAGTGGAATATTTTTCAGCTATACAAAGGAATTAAGTACTGTTCCATGCTAGAACATGAATGAATCTTGAAAACATTATATTCTAAGTTAAAGATGCCAGGCGTAAAAGACCACATATTGTATGACCCTGCTAATATGCAATGTCCAGAACAAGGAAATCTATACAGCAAGTAAATTAGTGGTTGCTAGGGGTTGAGGGGGAAGGGGAGAGAATGGGCAGTGACTGCCAATGAGCACAGGGTTCCCATTTGGGGCTATGAAAGCATTCTAGAATTAGACGGTGGTAATTGTTGCAGAACATTGTGAATATACTGGAAGTCACTGAACTGTAAAACTTTGGAATGGTTAAATGGCAAATTTTATGTTATGTGAATTTTATATTAATAAAAGCAATAAATGCATCTGTCAACTCAAAGACCACACTCATCATTTAGTCTCCAACCATTTGCCTAGTGGGTACTAATGCTCAACCCTGAGTTAAATACTGGAGCAACAATTATGAACAAGTGTAGACTATAATCCTTAAGGTCTTCAACATTTAGTGGGGTAATCAGGTGAGGAGAAGGGCATGTAAAGAACAGGGGGCAAGTCCTTTCCTGTAGAAGAGCGTGAGGCTGCCAGGGTGGGCAGAAGAGATGTCTATACAAGTTAGGAAAGCTTTGTTGTGGGGAGGAAGGTCAAAAACACTCAAGGTAGAGGGGCCAATCATGTTTACATGACCAGAGATGGGTGAAGATGTGGTTTCCTGAGAGGCAAGCAAGAAGTTCAGCAGAGAACACTAGGGCAGTTGTGAGAGCAGGAAGAGAGGAGGCCAGAGTGGTCAGGTCCTGAATCAGACTTTTACTGTAGAATCAGCACTGGCTACATATGGACAGAAGGGACTGGAGAAGGGGGGACTTTGTGCAGGTGGACCAGTTCAGAGACAGGCGGTCACCCGGCTGAAGGAATCATGATGGAGGCACCAGGGCAGAGACATGCACCTGCTTTGAGATATTTAAGAGGCAGGACATGGTGGCTGATTGGGGCAATGGAACTGGGGAGCACAGGAGGTGACACTGATGCTTAAAATTCTGGACTGGGTAACCTGAGAGATGGTGGTATTATTTACTGGGATACACTATTAGAGAAGAAACAGTGTTTGGCTTTGAGTATAGTGAATACAAAATGCCTGGGGGAATTCAAGTGGAGAGGCCTGCAGGGTGCAGGATACACAGGTCTGAAGCTCAGAAGAGAGGACTGAGCTGTGCATATCAATATGAAGTCGAGGACATGTGGATGATATTGGAGGACAAAGGTCTGGCACATGGTGCTCAAGGACAGCATGTAATGTGAGGAGACAAGTAAAGACCAGGAACCTGAAGAAGGCCAACATTTAAGGAATATAAAGCAAGAGAAGATCAGCCAGAGATTGAAGGAAAAAAAGAAAAAAGGGGAGAAGTATTTTGAAAAGGAGAAAGTACTTAACCATGTCAAAAGCTCACGAAAACAAGAAAAAGAACTAAAAAAAAAATACGCATTGGATTTTGTGAAAAGAAAACACTTGGGGACTTTACCAAGAACAGCCGGGGTAGAGATGGGGATGGGAGCTAGTTTCACATAGCTTAAGGGGTGAGTGAGTGGCAGTGAGCACTGAGGGGTATCAAGGAGGCAGCTCCTCTAAGAAGTCTTATAAAGGGCAGGAGGAGCTAGCTGGAAAGAGACACTGATGATGAATCCAGGGAGGGCATATCTATGTAGATGGAAATGACTCCATGGGAAGGAATCAGTGGAGGGGAAAGGTCAAAGATCCCAGAGCAAGAAAAGGGATGATTGAGCAGGTGGAGAGGTTGGGAGCTAATGGCAGGGCACAAGAAGGCGGCCGCCCCTTCCACAATAACAGGAGGCAAGAGGCTGCCACAGACAGCAATGCAAGCTAGTTTGCATGTGTGGTGGCAGGAGCAGTGGGAGTTCCTGTCTGAGGATGGGTTTACCCTCTGTGGAGAAGGAAGGTCAGCTGTTGAGGATGAATGGGATAGAGCAGGGTCATACAAAAGCCATTAGACAAGAGTCATGAAGAGGCTGAAACAACTCATGGGGAATCTATTGGGTGATTGAGGGGGGAAAAACTTTCCAGCAGCGATGAGGGCCCAGTCTGGAGAGTATAAATCTGGAGTGGCTCCAACCTGCCCATTGTGAGCCTCTTATCCTCCTAGAACACTCAGCAGCCCAGATTGTAGGCATGAGAAAGGCAGGCAGAAGAAGTGAACTGGGTCAGGCAGGAGTGCTGAAGGGCTAATCAGCCAAGATGCTGGCCAGGAGACAGAAAACCTAAGGGGCCCAGGCTGGGCAGGGTCATGCTTAAATTCATGGCATAGGAGGAGAGTGCACAAAGTTGAAAAGAGGATCCCAGATTGAGTTTGAGGAGCATTGCCATTTGCAGGTTGGGAAAGAAAGAGGAACCAGTGAAGGAGACCAAGCCAGCCAGGTTGGAGACAGAGAAATCCAGGGGGTGAATGTCATAAAAGTCAAGAGAATGGAGCAGTACACTCTGAGGTCAGTAACAATGACAGCTAACTTGAACCAAATGCTTTCTCACAGGGTAGTGTCCTAGGCCCTTTACAGTAGTCTCACATCCACTCCAGGAAGTAGGTTTACTGTCACTGCCACTTTAGAGATGAGGCAATCATGGTGCAGAAAGATGAAGTCGTATAGCAAATAACCAGTTTCTTTCTATGCTCTCTCAGAGCATATTTCAGGTTCCTCCATACCTCAGAGGATAACCATGTGGCAGTTGCTGCGACTACTTGTTTAGTATGTGTCTCTCCCAATACCTAGCAAATGCCTGGCCCATAGCAGGCACTCAAGCACTGAAGGAAAATGGATGGCTCATTTGCTCCTTCAAGAAGGTAATGGCTTCTCTCAAGAGTGAGATGGGGGGAGATGGGAAGGTGGTTTTTTGGAGATTGTGGTCAACTAAATAATCATTGAGGAAATAAGAGGTTCAAGTTGCCCAGAGAAACAAAGACCTCCCTAAGCACTGCTGAGGAGAACATGAGGGATCATGACCATGCTCTCAGACATCTTCCTTCTTGCCACTCTTGTGAATGACATGCTCTGGCACACTGTTGAGTAGGTACATGTGCTCTCTAGAATGCCCTGCTTGTCTCCTCCTGCTAACCATCCAAAGTCAGCTCAAATGGTGCCTCCTTCGTGAAGCCTTACCCAGCTTCACAAGCAGGCCTGGCCAGTCCCTCTCCTGGCTCCCCCAGCACACTGAGTTGATACCTGTAAATAGCACCTCACCTGGTCTGTTGTGGTATATCCTCCTAGTAGGTGCTTATTACATGTTTGTTGCCCAAATGACATGAGATGGTAAGGGCTGTCACCACCTTCCTGATACATGAAATTACTTGTGGAAAGGGCCAAGCCCTCTGACTGCCAAATACCTACCTGTAGTAACACATTGCTGGAAAGTCAATCATGGGAAGTAGAAATGACTCAGTTCAGAGCCTTTTCTATTTGGATAGTGGGTATTGGAGGCTTGATGTCATAGCTATTGCTAGGTTTGAAGGGTCCTGTCCCCTTCAGCTACTGAGAATCAAATGGAGTGGTCTGCAGATGCTACTGCTCCATGTGATTTATGGAAACATTTATATTTCCCTAGTTTCACATATTTGACTCCATTCTAACAGACCTTCAGACCAGATGTGAATTAGTCAAGCAATCACCATATTTCACAGGTTAAAGGACTTCCAAGGGCCTCACGATCATTTCATTAAGGTACTTACTTGTTTCTTTTGGTGATAATTCTCTTTCTGGGTCTTTGCTTAATTAATTCAGCAGACAGGATTGTGGAGGAACAATAAGAGAGACAAGATCCCAACTCACATGAGACATCCACAGGCTATATCCCAGGGAGGAATAACTATGGTCTACTTGGAAAGATTCTACCTTCAGGTGGGGAGGAAGTCAATGGCTATTTGAACTGCATAACAATTTACAGACAGTATATGAGACAAGACCTACTGGTTCTGCAATGTCATCAAGACTGTACCTTGTTGGTATCGGCGACACTGTTTTGTCGGGCATCGAAGATGATAAGTTTGTGAGACTGTGCATTAGCATCCATTATTGTCTGCAAGTATTTTTCATCTTCTTTGCAGCGTTTATCACTGGGACCCACAAGTGGCTGGCTGCACCGAGTGATTGTTGCCTGACTTTCTGGATGAATCCATGACAATACCTAGTGTGTGTAAGTAACAAATATGAGTACAGTTCCTAAAACAGTATGTGCTCTAAATACCATGTAGTAAAAACAAGTTCTCTTCTCAAGCACAGCTTCTTCTGTGTATTTTCCTCAAAGTGGAGGGGCCAGGCCAATCACAGCAATGACAGTGGCTATGAGATGCAATGTTTGGGTCAGGATGAAAAAAGTCTGAGTAGATGAGCTCTAAAAATCCCCTTCCACATCTAAACTTCTATGATTCTAAGAAAAGCAGAAACTAAGTGAAAAGGTTACTAACATCAAGCCCCATTCCTATTTGATCGACTAGTTTTATTTTGTCTCCTAATTGAAAAAACATCTTTGTATCTCAACAATGATATATGTGGCCAGATAAGAACAAAGTGAATATACAGTCTCTCATAAAATCTAAAACTATATCCCCAAACCTCCTTTTTTCTTCCTGTGGCCAAGAGAATCAGGATTGTACCAGACTGCAAACTCTAGGCTCAAAAATGTTCACTCCCTCCTGGGTTGTGGTGACAGTATCATGGGGGTACGCATATGTCCAAACTCATCACATTTTATACATTAAACATGTGCCATGTTTTTGTATATCAATTAATCCTCAATAAAGCTATTTAAAAAATCCATCCCCTGCTGGCTCCTATGTTTCTTTTCATAATGGTGTCCCGCCCATGCAGCTGCAGCCTTGCACTCAGCATCCAAGAAAGAGTGTCTTTCTCCGAGATGAGTTGGTGAAACCAGAGACACAAACCATTAAAGCGTAACATGCTAACTCATCCTTGCTGTCTTTTGTTATATGTACTACATTTTGAGAGCTAAACTGAAATTACCCTTGTACTTAGTAATGTGAAGTCATATGAGGCAGTCAGCAAACATAATGTTTACATAATTAGGTAGTTCCTGAGAATCAAAGATATGTTCAGGTTTTCAGGCTTATTTTTCTACTTTTCATTTTGTTCACTAGATTTTTTTTCTATTTTCTTACCATATTAGATCTAACACAATATGTTTATACCTAAATGACAATGTTTATTACTTACAGGGACTCTGCCTTTTGCTCGAAAGGCTGCTACTTTTGCAAGGTCATCATCTTTTACATTAGTTGGCACAACAATGATGGCAGGGTAAGTGTCACAGAGGTCATAATTACTGTTTACTTTGGATATTTTCCAACTCTCATTTGGCAAGCCCTGTAGGGTGTTAGAGAAGAAAGAAGAGGGGGAAAGCATACTTTTATATTTTTGAAAAGTACTAAGCATAAACCATATCCATTTCCTATTTTGTGCTAAAATCTGTTTATAATTTGTCCAGTGCTAGTTAAAAGTTTAAATATATATTTATCTAATATGACCCATTTCCTACCCATTTAAAAATTTAATGAAGCATAAGAATTTCCAAACATACTAAAAAAATGAAAATTATATACTAGAATCCCAGTCCTATACATTTCTTGTAGTGTTTTTATAAAGAATGAGCATAGTGTTGTCTTCAAAAATACTCGTGAAATTCCTTTAGAGACAGAAATTTCTTACCAATATCTAAAATAAGTAATACATATCACCACAACATTTCTAACCTTTTAGAAAACAAAAAGATGCTTAACCTATTATTTTTAGTTTTGATAAACAACATACTTTACCTGTCTTTTATATTCAGCTACTGAATCATAAACTTTCCATCCATTAATTGGAAATTTTTCTTTATAGTTGAATGCAAAGAGTGTCTGGATACAAAAAAACACAAAATACATGTCAGCATTTCTTTGCTATGTCATATACCCAATATTAAAGCTTTTCATTCAGTTATAAGCTGAATGTATTAAGATTCCTCTTTTAATTTGTAAATGTTGAAGCACCAAATATGCAGCTTTCTTAATCATTACACAGAACTGCTGAATTTTAAATATTCTAATATTAGTGACCAACAGAGAGAAAACAGATAAAGGCAACCTCTGAAAAAAGGAATAATTAAGCATGAAATTTTGGACCCTCACAAAGGAATGCAAAAAGGTTTATATTGGTGTACTTACCTGACCATTGGAAAGAGGAAATGCATGTTTATTGAGGTTTTCAAATATTCCCAGTTTACTCTGTTCTTCTTGTTTATAAGCAAGTCGCAAGTTTCTCATATCCTGTTAAACAATTAGCAAAACTCATTTATTCAATGTGTATTGAGTACCTATTAGTCATAACCATGCTATAAGAGATCAATAAAATATTTTTGATCATTTCTCATGTTATACTTTATCTTGCTCCAACTAACAAAAGGCAATTAACAAAAACACCTCCAACAAGATTTCTTTTTATTTTTTAAAAATATGTTTTTATTGACTTCAGAGAGAGGGAGGGAGAGAGAGAGATAGAAACATCAACGATGAGAGAGAACCATCCATCGGTTGCCTCCTGCATTCCTCCTACTGGGGATTGAGCCCCAAACCTGGGCATGTGCCCTGAGTGGGAATCAAACTGTGATCTCCTCGTTCATGGGGCAACACTCAACCACTGAGCCACACAGGCCAAGCCCAGTGTGGAAATTAAGTGAGGAAACTGGAACAGAGGGCATGTGTTGGGGAAAAAAATCTTCAGATAGAATCAAGAATAAAGTTAGTACATCAAGACCTGCACATTTACTTCCTAAAGATATGAGACACCCAATCAATGGTGAGCTTTAAACTATTGAAAGAATCAATTACAGATCTTGAACCCTCCATAAAACAGAAATGCAACAGAGGTTCCTTCCCAGAACTCAGAGCAAGGACTCTGTCACAGAGAGACTACCGCCTCAGTGACTTCCTTACAAAAACGATAATGCTCTTTCTTAAGATCAGTTTCTTAAAATGCCCCACCATGCAAGCTGCTGTCCAAAAGCTCAAATGAAAGTGGGGAGGAGCGATTCCTGTGAGGTGGCTCATATGGGGCAATTTCTTCCCAGGACTGGTTTGAGCAGTGTCCCCCAACCTTCTAAAACCACTGCTGGTAAACACAAAACTATCACTATTCTTTAACATTATTTGAAATTAAAAAATAATTATGGCCACAAACAAATTTAAGGTAGAGTAATTTGGAAATGAGGAAGTTATTATTGTGATATGTATAACAACAGCAAAAAGATGGAACTAACCTAAATGTCTGTCAATAGAAGCTGACTAGAATATAATGGAATACTAGAATGCTGTTAAAAACGAGACTCAGCTCGCTATGTATTGATGTCAAGGAGCTCCGAGATACATTGTTAAGGGGAAATGGAAAGGGCAGAATGTTTTCAAAGATTATACATACATCTTATGTGCAGAGGGTATCTATGAAAATTGATAACAGTGGGAGCCTGCAAGGACTGCAATAGGGGTGAAGAGAGACTTACTGTCCGGCCAGCCTGGCTCAGTGGTTGAGCATCAACCTATGAACCGGGAGGTCACGGTTCGATTCCCAGTCAGGGTACATGCCTGGGTTGCAGGCTCCATTCCCAATAGGGGGCATGCAGGAAGCAGCCTATAGATGATTCTCATCATTGATGTTTCTATCTCTCTCTCCCTCTCCCTTCCTCTCTCTCTAAAAATCAATAAAAACATATTTTTTTAAAAGTTATATGGGGATTTTCGACTGTGCAGGCAGTTGGTGCCCCTAAGCCCCACATTGCTCAGTGGTCACTGTACTGTTGTCCCTTTAGGAAGTCTTTGACCATCCGTTGTTCTGAAGATTAGTCTTAAAACAACAAACTAGGAAAATATGGATCTCTGCTTTCCACTTGATTTCTCTGAAATGTAACAAATAATATCAGCATGTAGGTTACAGGTCCATGCTAATTAGAATACTTCAATAAGAAAGAAAAGGTTTACTTCAATGGCTTACATAATGGTATGAATTGGTTGATACAAGATTTAAAGAGGTTTCTGTCCTAAAACATTTGAGTTACTAACAGTACAAATTACTGTGACTGTCCAAAGAACAGGAAAATTGTGTCAGAAAAAGTTCCCAGCTGACTGCCTCTTGCAGTCTTACTAGTGTTGGTACCATACCTTGCACACTATCTCTATACCACAAGAATTGTCCCCATGGCTCTGTGCTCCAATCTTCTCAACTCTGCTGATCACTCCCAGGGGAACATCCAGGATAAAATGTGGGTCCTGAGTTTACAAATTAAGATGAATGCCTATTAGTGTCAGTCAACAGAGTTTTCATATTGTAAGTCTTCCCTGGCTTAAAACTTATTTGTTTACTTCACATTTCCTCTTTGTCCCAGCTAAGAAACTGAAGTCTGATTTATAACATGTTTTCTGAAGATGTTTAGATGACAAACTTCCCCTCTAGGTATAAGTGCTACTTTAACAGCTTTTTTCTCAAGATACAAAATCTGGTTGTCAATGTGCACATCTTAAAACTCACCTGGTTCTCTCAGGGTGATGGGATTTCAGGGCACTTCTTACTTTCTTCTTTATTGTTTACTCGCTTCTGAAGTGTTTTTTAAAATAAAACATACTTTTAAAAACTCACCCTCTCTACATTTTTGAAGTACATCTTAAAGTCCGTCACAGTCAGCGTTCCACTCACAGCTCCCATAAATGGGCAGATATACATGACATCTTTCACTGAAAGGAAAAACTCAAAGTAGCAACTACTGCCATAGACTTGTGCTTCAATAAATTATAAATTTGTTATTAATTTAAATAGACATGGATAGTCTTCTAATAAAATTCCTTTTTATCAAACAAAATTCTATTTTGGTACTTAATGAGGTTTTAAGTGAAGGGCTTCATAATAAGCTACATTTTGTCACTTTTTCCAGGTGGTTAACTTTTTTCTATGAGTGATAAATTAATCATATCAAAACATATTAATTAATCTCTGAAGACAGTGGGCTACCAGTTAATAAATTACTGCTAATGAAAACTAAAGCTAAAAACTAGCCACTAATGCACCTCCTAAAAGCAACTGCTTTACAGATGACAAAAACCAAACCACATCAATGGAGTGGAAAAATAATTATTTGCTTCAAATTCCTTATCAGCTTCCATATAGACTTTTATTTTCATATTTAGAATATCAATATCAGCATATTTAATACTAGAGGCCAGGTGCACAAAAATTTGTGCACTCGGGGGGGGGGGGTCCTCC